GGGACATGTACACACAAGAACATTTGATCATAGGCCATATATAGCAAAAGCAGTTCATATGTTCATTCACTCAAATGTACTCACCGTAACTGTCTTATCTTCGACAATTCCAATTAATCAATGTTAATATGCATAGAAGACCCTTTTACATGTGTGATCGTGCTTGAGAGAAGCGATACTGCATGGAAATAATTTTTTTAGTTCACGGAACTTTCGGGCCGTCAACATGCAAAATTGGAAAAAATTGCCCTTCGACGTTGCCTTTTTCTTACTCTATTTGATTTCCACTTGCTTATGGCAAACATTTAATTACTAAAAGAACGAATTATTGGCTGTTGACAACTACAATACGAACGTTTGTAGGTCCAATACAATCATAGTAACATCATAATCTTCCAATTTTATGAGTCATATATTCAAAGCAGTCAAAGTGAATTACGAATAACTTACCATCTTGTACACAAGCTGAAATATTCAAACGATTGGCTACTTACTTGATCCCATGATAAAAAGATAAAAACCAATGAAACGAATTGGTTTGATCATTTCAAAATATATGTTTTCTTTTCTTCAAAACATTTCAAGGCGATGAAAAAACTTTCATGTTTAGGAGCATACTTTTGGCAAATGAGGCAAGAATTTAACATCAAGTGACACCGGTACATTGGATAGCAACGCAATCAATCTGTTGTTAATTGGTTCGGGATTTATTTTTCTCGCTTATATCGGCGACGAACATTTGCCATTGCCTGACCCAATTAATTGAAACTCATCAACACTTCCGCTGTATTGTGACTGTCTGAGTAGGTGACAGTAGATGTTTCAAGTGCTAAAACGACCAAATTGCTCACAATTAAACATCTAAATAACTAAAATTGATCTTGATTTAAAATTCAATCGCATTTTCTGTTTTTATTAATTCATTTCTGCGACAAAAATAGCTCACACATTGTTGCGAGTATCCAATTAAATTTATAATCATTTTTGGTGGTTATTGCCTAATTTACATTTTTTTTTTCTTTTTTGTACACATACATATATGTATACAATTACAGTTTCGCGCTAACGTCTATTCTTCTTTGTGCTATATACCAACAACGAAGGCAGTGTGCTTGTTGATTCGATGCTGCTCGATGCTGCTCTCGCTGTTTTCGTTAGCAAGAACAGCTCAATGAAGATTATGCGCTAGCCCAAGCGTGCATTCGTGTATAGTTTGCCATAAGAAAAAAAAGTTTACACATTTATTTTGGATTACGGCCGATAAAATTCGATACCGATGTATGCTCGTCATTACGGAGAGGTCATTTGATTATTCATTGATTTACTTATTTATAGCATTTCCATAGTTAACCATCATCTCTCTCCGAAAATGTGAACAAGAAAACTGCTGATAGTTTAGCAATCAATTGTAACTGAAATATATTGAGATAATTAAGACGATCGGTTCCGGCTCATATTGGTTGACGATC